AAATTGGCACGATTAACGCAAACTCGATCATTCTCTCCAATTCGAAGTAAAATACTTTGGGACTTACAGAGGCGGATCTAAAATCTGAATTTTATGGGTTCAATCTTTAAAAGTTAGTATTGAACACATTATATTGTTAAAGTTATGGGTTCATATCTACTATTTTTTCCAATTTTAGATAATTTTTACACATAAATTTATGTTCCATGTCGAAAGTACTGGGTTCAATTGAACCCGGAACCTCGACGCTGGATCCGCCCTGGAGACTTAGAGAGAGAGAAAAAAAAATGACTATGCTGGTTATCGCAAAAAAGAAAAAGATATTAGACGAATTTAATTTGATGCTCCCTGAAATCATGAGAAAGTCGCTCAAACCCGCAAGTATTCTCTTTATAGATTGCCTCTTCCTCCAATGTAAAATTTTCTCTTTGATTGACTTCTTCACACATGCCTTTTGGTTTCTTCTCTTTAATCCTGTCTGCAATTCCCCGAAAACTGCATACAATATATTCTTTGTGTTAGCACGATCATCCGCCATGATAAAATCAAGCAATTTTCAAGTAGCTAGCTAGAAATCAATTTTGGCTTTGAAACACATTAATTAGTAACCAGTTATAAGTCAAAAATAAAGAACAACTCTCGTTACAATTTGTTGTATATAAAGTCAGGACCAATAATTAATGCAAGATTTAATTTGTGGCTGCAAACTCTCATGAACTCTTGGTAAGCAAGCCATAGAATCAAGAATATTACGATTCTCACAAAATAATACTACTCAATATAGAAAATACTTGTAAATTCTTTAAAAACTTATCAGTTCAACTTGTAAAATTTTTGAAATCTTACCAGCGAAAAGCAAAAAGATTTGAGGTTGTTAGTTGGAGAGAGAGACACACATGCGTGACAGTTTTTTGAAGGAAAGAAAAAGACGAATGTTGAAGCTTTGCGGAAATAAAATCTTTTTAATTTAAAGTCCTAAATATAATTAAGGACATAATTCAAATAAGGAAAGATATGATAACCAAAATTTTAGATAGTGATTTTAAAGTCCTAAAGATTAAAAATAATAGTTAATAGCTTTCATATGTTTATCGTGGAGCTTGCCCTTTCTATTTGCCTTGTTGTGAGGAAGGTGATGAAATAATCAATGCACACCTCTATTTGATGGCTTAATAGATACCCGAAGGGTAATAAGAAAAGCAAAATAGCTAAAACTAATAAACAAGAGAGGACTGATGAAGCATTGATGAAAAGCAATTCCCCTCTTCTCTTACACCTCATTGGTGCAGGGGCGGATTTACATGGAACCCAAGCGGTGTCACGGGAAACTGCTTCGTCGAAATTTTTTACTATTTATATATATATATATATATATATATAGAAATAATAAGTAAAACAGAAATATAAGATAAAATCATTAAAAGTGACACCACTTGCAACAAAACAGCTCAGTAGTCTAGTGGTTAACAGCTTCAAAATTGATGTAAGAGGTCTTGGGTTGGAACTCCCTTGGCTCCACAAAATATTTTTTGACTGTTATGGGCCTCTTACTAGAAATAGTGACACTGCTTATGAAAAATCTTGCGTACGCCACTGCATTGGTGTGTCCTGCCTGATTCTTGATACACTTACCTAAAACTTTCAGTTGAATCTCTTGATCACTAGTCTTGATTCTGATGGGATGAGGATGATGGTGGTGAATTGCCGTTCACAAGTACCGTCCTTATTTTGATAAATGATGATGACAGCTAGTGATGATTCTTATTCCCAGTAGAAGAGGTGTGAGAGGTTTCTCAAAAAAAAAAAAAACATTTCAAAGAGGGGGAAGAGTTGTTGCCTTCTGTTGAAGTAGCCACTGTTTAGTTGCATCGGTTCAGGAGTTAAGGCATAGCATGCCAAAATGTAGATTTTCACAGGCTTCAGGAACTTCCTGTAATTAGTCTTGAGGAAGTACAGCTCAACAAGGTTCAGCTGAGCTTTATCAATATTGTTTTACCCCACAGATTTGGCCGGTTTACGAGTTACCAGATATGATGGGAATTTGTTAGATGCTTGACTTCTCTTATCCGGTGTACTACTAATCCGCTGATTAAGCATTTGGGGATATTTGCTCTAAGTGTCGTACTTCGTTTTCTTAGAATTAACTGCTTGAAGGGTGTCTCTAGAAGTAGGGTTCGAACATTGTTTTGTGGGATTACTAAATGCACATGTAGTGATAAACACTTATTAAAGAAAGAATGCAAATGTGGTGATAGATTCAGTGGTCATGCTACTTTACTGATGCAACTTCTTGGCAATGTCACTTTCTTGTCCCTTCCGAAATTGTCAAAGTATTAGAGTATCTGAAAGACTTTTTTATTTTTTGTCTGAATGGAAGACCAGAAGAGAATAAAGCCATGCCTTAACGTAGTCCTTTCAAAAAAAATTCTTCCCTTCCTATCTGTAGGAGGAGTTCATTTACATGGATTATGTTCATCACTTGATAAGATGGTGCATTTAGTTTGGATTGCATAGAATGGCCTAGATTGTATGTAGTGCCTTTTCTGGATAACACGGGTTCAAATTTCCAGCCATGAAAGAGGAAGATGATATATAGAGGCCTTTATGAACCAAATTATGATTAGTATGTTGTGACTGCTTTTGTTTGTTCAGAAGTAGAATTTTTCTTCTCGGCTTTTGCTAATTTTGATTTATATGAGCTGATTAGATTTGGGAATTGTAAATTCTTCTTTACTTCGACTCAGTCTTTCAATCAATAAGCTTATTTTTAAAGAGTATAAAACCTGAACTACTAGTGTCAATTTTTTATTATGAAGCCATTGAGCCAAATGGAGAAAACCTTACTCCAACCAAAAACAACCCAGTGGGGTTTGGGGAGGGTAATGTGTAGGCAGACCTTACCCCTACCCTTACCCCTAGGAGGTTGAGAGGCTGTTTCCGAAAGACCCTCGGCTCGAGATGAAGAATAAACAAGTAAATATCAGAAAACCTTACTCCCACCAAATGGAGAAAACCTTACCCTTGGTACTCAATTTCAAACAAAATCAGGCTTCACTTGTCCTATATCTAAAAAGGAATCGAGCACAGAATGTTGAGAATCATGTTTATCATCATTTGTCAAAAGCATACAAGTGTATCCTTTGAGACAAATAAGTGTATTTTTGTTAAATTCGATCATGCACGAGAAGTATTAAAAGGTGACATAGGATATTGTTTGGACATAGCCACCATCGCATGCTAATACAGTAGCTCTTACTGGTGATCATTTTATGGATAGTTTGAACCTTTTTCTTTTTATAATCTTGACTTGCAAATATGAGCCTGTCTCATGAACTCCAAAATTTTTTTTTTTTTCTTTTTTTGTAAATTTCTTTTAGGAGGAAGGGGGCACGGGAGCGCAGAATCTTATTTTCCACTAGTTCCCAGCTGTTTTCTTCTCTTCTTAACCAATCAAAATACATGAAAGTACTGGTGTTTGGTTTATTGTTAAGACGACTTTTTTTGTCTCTGACCACTTAGTAACAACACATTTAGCCGTTGAAAGACACTATGAGAAACTTCCACATTCTAATATTGAGTTGATAGTATCTTGCAGGTTCCATGTTGTGGCGTATTGCCAGCAAGTATGGTGGTTTGAAGTAAGTGGAATAGTGAAGTTTCCTTTTCCTCCGGATATATACACACTAACTTTCAGGATCCACCTCGGGAAATATTTTAAGAGATTAGGCCGACGTGTTCCCAACTTTGAGCACACTCATGGATGGGATTTGGGGCAAGTACGCTATGAACTGTCCACTTCTGATGGACAGCATGCAGTTAGTGAGTGCTTCCTCCATGAAGTCGAGCAAGATGATGCAAAAAAGCGTGGGTGCTGGATTGAGTACAAGGTGGGTGAATTTATTGTCAATAGGTCAGATCCTGTAACTGAAGTTAGATTTTCAATGAAACAGATTGATTGCACACATTCGAAAGGTGGGCTCTGTGTAGATTCTGTATCAATTACCCCTAGCGATCTCACAAGGTGTAGGAGGAAAGGGGTTAAATAGTTTCTGTAAATGATATGTTTTCTAGTTTTATTCTCTTACCAACGATCCTAGAATTAGATTCCATTACACAGCTTATACTATCATTGTGTATGTACCTTAGGTGTTTCTCTCCTGTACATGTAAATGTTAACGCTTTGTACTTGATCCAGTTTTGCTGCATAGTGTACCTATGCTATGTCGGGTAAATATACTCTGTTTATCTGTTATGAGAAGAAAGGTTTTGTTTTTAATTTTATTATTTCATGTACGGACAAATGCTACAATTTTCACATCTTTAAGGAACTTGTATGCATGGTTTACATTCCAGTGCTTGGAGCCCACAAATTTCACAAATTTGGTAGAATCCCTCCCTTATAACAGAGCTGCTATGCCTTCTTTTCCCTTTTAACTGGCGATGATGATGCGAGATCTTCATCTTCAACTGGTGAAGATGTTCTGCTATGCCAGGTCCATTAGATAGTGACTAGGATGGCAATGGGCAAGTGTGGAGTGAATTCACAAGAGGGTTTTGCACATAGAGGGGAGGGCGTGACAAGTATGAGGTTAGATATATGGGTTCATTGATGAAAAATACATATTATTCACCACCCGCACAAGTACAAAGAAATGAGATAACTCTATCCACCAAGAACTTGGACAAAATAAATCACCTTTCCATATTTCGTGAAAGCATGATTTACGAAAATTTTCAACTCACTTCATTGACTACAATCCACCCCTTTGGGGCCGCAACATGAATGAATACATTAAAGGGGGGATGAAATAAGGAGATGCACATCATGTACGAGGTCGAGAACCACATACACGTCATGCCACAAGATTTTAAACAGCGCTTTTCTTTGGAAACTCAATTTACTTATGATTCAACTTCCGATCACTTTCTCCTCACAACCAATAAGATGGGAAGTTCTTGCAGAGCATAGCACATTTCAAATAAAACAGAACATGGAGATATGTAGTTAAGAGTAAGAAAAAACTGCATTTAACTGTAGTCTATCAATGAATAATAGCAAAATTTAAACGCAAAACTATTTGTTTCGAGAAATTGCGGACTGCGGTTTCAACTATACTACTGGTAAATGATGCCGCTTACAGTGCCTTTGAAAAAATCTCTCAAACGCCGACTTACAAGGAAAGAACAGAATACAGCTTAACGTTTTCCACCGCCACCACCGAGCTTAGGACCTTTCCCTCCAGCTCCCTTGGGCATGTTGCCCTTCCCTCCAGCTTTCTGTGACTTGGCCTGCACCTCTGCCTTCTTGGCCTTCTTCTCATCCTTTGTCTTCTTGATCCTTTCCTTGATTTCACTGCACAAAACGATAAAATATAAATAATAAATCCACCTCCATTAAATAAAGAACATTGTCATTAAAAATACATTTTTTACAATCACTTCCCATTTTCTGCCCATTTTTGCAAAGGTTTAACAACCATATTAGATGTAGGTGATCTACATGTATTAACTGGCAAAACGTGATATAATGCACAGGCTAAATCTAAGAGGTCAACATGCAGAAAAAATGATGGGAACAAACCGGAGAGCAGCCTCCCTAGCAGCATCTCTAACTTCTGGCCTTTCAGTTCTCTTCTTCTGGATAACCTCCAGGGTTGCACCCACAATGGACCTGGAGTAAGGCTTCTTTGTTGCACGTCGCCTCTTCTTAACAGCTTCTTGTGCAATATCCTAAAGTTATACACAGAAAATGAAGAATTTAATTAGGCAAAAAGTAAATACAAGCAATTGCACAAAAGATGGCAAGGTGAAGAGGACTATGTGCCTTAATCCAAGTTTATAGTACATAAATTATGTATCACAAGGCATGATCGACCTAGCTATCCTTCAATTTTGCAATCTTTATGGGAAATTTTAAAACAGAATAAAGCTTAATCATTGATGCTTCATTGAGACTAACCTTCTTGTGCTGCTTCCTGTACATAGCTGTCCAAGTAAGTTTGGAAGGCTTCAGGCGATTGTGAAAGTACCGTTTGCATTTTGAGTTGAGAAACAGGAACACCTAATATCACAAAAAATAAGTAAAATAAGGAACAGCCGAAAAGAAAACCTGACACTACCTCCTTCCACTAATAAGTCACATAACTTAATCATGAGGTACAAAATTATTAGCACATGTTAGTATGTCTTAGAAAATTACCTGAGAATCTGAACGAATAAATCTGATGCCCCTCCCAGGATATATCTTGCCACCACTAAAACGACATAATTCCGTCCTGAAATCAGAATAAGAATAGAACTATTAATTTAATCACTTATACTTTTGGGTAATACACGGAGGAAAAAGTCCAAAGTAAAGGAACTGAGAACAAGCTGGTAAGTTTATGTGCCATAAGAAAAACCTGTGATATTGCTACCTCATGAGCAATTGGCCATACTTAGGAGGCATCCTCGAAAATGTTCGAAAATCAGGAGTTTTCAAAATCTTTTTGAGTCTTTGCAGACCTTGCTTGTTTGACTTAGTGCAAAAAAAATCGATTTTTTCCAAGATTTTCTAATAGTTTATCAAATCAAAATGATGTTTTAAGAGCAGCAGTTAACCCTATCAAATGCAACTAACAGAACAGCTATTGAGAATTATTCATATAAAGGAGCACTAAGAAATAAATGTGTTTTACAGTACTGATTCACATTTCATTATTCAATACAACTATGGCTAGTAAAGAAAATGTCAAATCAACGAAGATTTTTATACTGCACCCCCTGAACTGGTGCTCAAATAATAAAAAATGAAGCGAATTATAGAGTAAAAACGGGGACTTTGAATTCATATCAATGAGCTAAATCAAATAAAATGGATAAGCGAATAAATATAAAATGAGAATTACGATTAAATTAAGGGACATGTATAGCATTTTTCTGTATAGATAAGAAGGCGGAGGGACTTACTTGAGAACCATTGTTGATGCAGCTGCGAGCTCTCACGTTGCGATGTCCCGAAAATGGAGAAAAAAACCCTAGTGAACAACGCTTATATTGGAATTGGAGGAAAGATTTTGGGCCAAAAAGAAAAGCAAACCTAACATAAGCCCAAGAAGTGGACCTCTTAATGGGAAAAAGGCTGCACCAATATTGGGTCAGTCCAATATTCAAAATCATACCACAAATCAATCGGTATAGGTTGGGTGGGCCAGCCCATTGGGCTTAGGACCCAAGAATACGCATCAAGTAACCTTAAGAGGCCGTTTGGTTATAGTGATTAGGGTGGATATCTCACAACAAAATTCGTTTTGGTGTAGGTATTAGCTAAAATCAGGACAAAATTTATACCAAAAGTATAGGATTACTTATCAATATATAATCTCAGGATTGAATAATTCTAATTTTGAACCAAAGAACTCCTAAGGGGTCTATTAGTAAGGAGGATAAGGGATAATAATCCCGAATTAGAATTTTAACCATTTAGTTGAATTTTTAATTCCGTATAAGCAGCACCGAGATTGTTTATACTGGAATCGCGGTACTATGGTTTTTAATTATACTGACCCATAAATGCTTTTTAATTGTTTACTACTGTATTAATTAGGAAATAATTACGGCCCTCGTCACTTGTCCTAACAGCCCAACCGAAAATGGCTTCAGATTTAAAGCTCTTACCTGATTTGGCCCATGTTGTACATAACTTGAAAGAAACTTTTCAGCCTTTAGCCCATTATTAAAGACACACTTTTCGGGCTTTTATTATTGGGAAATTTTCGTTCCTTTACCATATAGGAAACTATATTACCAAATATGTTCATAGTTTGCATATTACCCTTCATGCTAATAGTATTTCTACAAAATATAGACCATGCATTAAATAAGGAATCATTGTAGCTGTAGGCTTCCTTATTTAGGCGCTAAAATTGGGGGATTAAATATTCTTCTAGATCTTCCAAACGCAAATCACGCACATTAATCTTCTTCGTCAGTTTCGTTTCAAATTTAGTGTCTCTACATCAAACGCAATTATTCTTCTACAATTCAAAAACGAATTGATTATTCTTCTACAATTTAAAAACGAATTGATTATTCTTCTACAATTCACAAATCAAAAACGACTAAATCTTCTACAGTTCTTCTACATCAAACGCAATTATGTCCAAATTTCAGTAATACAAAGCAAAGGAAAAGAGAACAACAATTCCACCATTGACAGCCATTAAAAAGCTTGAAAGCTTTGAAAGAAGAAGAAGAAGAAGAAGAAGAAGAAGAAGAAGAAGAAGAAGAAGAAGAAGAAGAAGACGTATATTGCAGAAATTGTAGAAAAATTGTAGATAAATTGAAGAACAATTGTAGACTGTTGTTTATTTATTTTTCTTTTATTCATTTACTTATTGTATGAAAGTTGAACAACATTGTATAAAAATTATATTTAAGTGGATGATTTAGTACTGTTTTGGACAAAAATATGTATCAAAAATGTGAAACATACATTTCAGGGGAAGCATGTTGAGTCCAAATATGTACCCAGTTTGTAGATATTTTGTAGATAAATTGTAGATTATTTGTATTCTGATTGTAGATGCTTTGTTTACTGTTTTCACAAATAAAAAAACGACTAAAACTTCTACAAATCTTCTGAAAAAACGCAATTATGTCAAAAATCCCAATTATGCTACAATTGAATGGGAATTGGGATATTAAAATTCAATGTACCCAGTTTGTAGATATCTTGTAGATAAATTGTAGATTATTTGTATTCTGATTGTAGATGCTTTATTTTCTATTTTCACAAATCAAAAACATCTACAAATCTCCTGCAAAAAGCGCAATTATGTCGAAAATCCCAATTATGCTACAATTGAATGGGAATTGGGATATTAAAATTCAATGTACCCAGTTTGTAGATACTTTATCGATAAATTGTAGATTATTTGTATTCTGATTGTAGATGCTTTGTTTTCTGTTTTCATAAATCAAAATCGACTAAAACTTCAACAAATCTTCTGCAAAAAATGCAATTATGTCAAAAATCCTGATTATGCTACAATTCTGTGATTCTCCTATATGCTCTTGTTACTCCTTACGAAACTGCTATGCTAAATGTAACGACCCGACCGGTCGTTTTGAGCCCTAGCACGTCGCTCAGCAGTCTGAGGCCATAAGCAGCTTCATTTCAGGTGTCATGACTTGTACGCGTGGTCGGAATTGGATTTCGGGAAGTTCGGAGTTGATTTGGGAAGAGAATTCTTATTTCGGAAGCATAAAGTTGAAAGAATTAACTAGGACGGGATTTTTGAGTAAACGACATTGGAATTGGGATCTGAAGGTTCCAGCAGGTTTGTATGATGATTTCGTACTTGGGCGTATGCCCGGTTCGGGTTTTAGATAACCCGGGAGCGTTTTGGCGCCTATTGTGGAAGTTAGCATTTTAGAAGAAATTCCATAAGTTTAGCTTGAAGTGCATTTCAGTGTTATCGATGTCCTTTTGGGATTTCGATCTGTGAATAGCTCCGTATGGTGATTCTGGATTTGGGAGCGCGATCGGAAGTGAATTCGGAGGTCCGTAGGTCATTTTGGAGTCATTTGGCTAAAGATAGAAATTTGAAGGTTTTGAGAAGTTTGACCGGAAGTGGACTTTTTGATATCGGGGTCGGAGTCCGATTCCGGAAGTTGGAGTAGGTCCGCGATGTCGAATATGACTTGCTTGCATAATTTGAGGTCAATCGGACTTGATTTGATAGGTTTAAACATCGAAAGTAGAAGTTTGAAATTCTAAAGTTCATAAAGCTTGGATTGGAGGTCGATTCGTGGTTTTAGCGTTGTTTGATATGATTTAAGACCTCAAGCAAGTCCATAATATATTTTGGGACTGGTTGGTATGATTGGTTGGGGTCCCGGGGGTCCCGGGTGGATTCCGGGTGGTTAACGGATCGATTTTCGCCTTGTGAGGATTGCTGGTTTTCTGGTATAAGTGCATCAGGTTTTTACTCTATGCGATTGCGAGAGAGGGTCTGCGATCGCATAGAGCAAGAGTGAGGGAGATGGAATTTGGCCTATGCGATCGCAGGAGGTGCAATGCGATCGCAGAGGAGGAAGGCTGGGACTTATGCGATTGCAGGGTTGGTGTCGCGATCGCACAGAAGGAATTAGGGAGGCAACAGAGTTGGCCTATGCGATCGCGGGGCTATGTTTGCGATCGCATAAACGGGTCGCCTGGGCAGTGTTCTTTTAAAATCGGGTTTTGGCTCATTTTTCACTTCATTTCTTCCATGGGATCCGATTTTGGAGCAACTTTGGAGTGTCATTTTCATCACCAAGCATGAGGTAAGTGATTTCTACTGGTTTTGAGTTAAATACAAGGTTTATATATGGATTTAGACATTGAAATTTGTAGAAAACTTGGGGTTTGAGGGAAAACCTAGAAAAGTAGTATTCTGGGATTTTGACCACGATTCTGGGTATGGAATTTAGAGAAAATTATATATTTGAGTTCGTGAGGCTATGGGTAAACTTATTCTTCAAAAATTTTGAAAATCCGGGCACGTGGGCCCGAGGGCATTTTCGTCAACTTTCCAATCGGGGTTAGGAATTGTTATAAATTGGATTAATATGAGAAGTTTATCGTATATTAATGGATTTGCATAATCATTGGCTAGTTTTTGAGCGTTCTGCATCAATTTGAGTCTTCGGAAGGGCGTGGAATGCCGGTTATGGATCTTCGGAGTGAGGCGAGTCTCCTTTCTAACCTTGTAAGAGGGAATTGTCCCCATAGGTGAGTTAATTGGTTATGTGCTCCTATTTGTGGGGGCTACGTACGCACGAGGTGACGAGAGTCTGTGCGCAGCCACTATCATGCTATTGTCTGGGTAGTCTAGGACCCAAAAACATGCTATACTTGGATTAATTGTAAACTTATTGACATCTCGAATTGCCTAAGCCACATCGAATTAATAAATAATTTCAAAAAGGATTAAACTTCTTTTCTTAAATTATTAAAAGAGAAAGTGGCTTTTATTTGAATGAATATTTCCCCGATAAATTCTTAATTAGCTATCTGAGCATGTATTTCTATGTGTACCTGCGTCGCATGTATGGTTCGCGAGCAGGGTGATTGTTTATTTTATGTTGACCGCGTTGCATGGATAGTTTGCGAGCGGGGTAATAGATGCATCTATGGTCCGCGTCGTTCGACCCTCGGCAGTGCACAGTTTATTTTCTGTTGGAGCGGGCCGTACGCCTCGGCATGATTTGCGCATGCTTGCATTGCTGCCTTGAACTTATTAAAGTTGATATTGCCTCTTCATGGCTTGAGAATAATTTGGATAAATAATGAAAAGGAATTTTTGGAAATTTCCTATAAAAGAAAATAATTGTTCACTTGTTTCCTTCTATTGGATTAGAATCATATTTATAGAAATTCGCGATTTAATGATTTATTGACATCACATTATTGGACCCTTAGTAAGTGTCGAAGTCGACCATCTCGTCTCTACTTCTTCGAGATTAGGCGGGATACTCATTGAGTACACGTTGTTTTCGTACTCATACTACACTTTTGTGCATTTTTGTTGCACAGGTATATGTAACTCTAGTGGCCTACTGGGCGTAGCAGCATGGATGATTCGGGGACTAGGTGAGTTGCATTATTCGAGGCGGCCCGCAGCTAATAAAGTCCCTTCTAGTAAATTGTATTTACTTTCTGTCCACTGTATTCCGGACGGATGTTGTATTGTATTATTTCTTAGAAATTGCTCATGCACTCGTGACACCGGGTTCTGGGGTGGTTGAAATATTTTGTATTAATTACTTATTATTAAATTTGAATCGAAGCAGTTGTCTCTTTACTTATCAAATTAGAAGGAAAATTTGGATTTTCAAAATTGTCTAAATTGGAATCTAATTAAGTATTCTAATTGGCTTGCCTGATAGCGGTGTCCGGCACTACCACGACCCTTAGTGGATTTTGGGTCGTGACACTAAATATGGAATCCAAAAAAACATGATGAAGGGGTAGATCTTCTTAAGAAATTTTGTAGACAATTTGTAGAAACATTGAACCTATTCTACAAATTCAACTCCTCTTTAAATACAATACCACCATACTTTCTTGAATTTAAAGTTTTAGCAATATATATAACTTAAAAAACATCTTCTCCTCTGCACAAGTTAGCTCCAAAACAGACGAAGTGGAATAACAAGCTCCCATCAAAACTTTTAACACAAAAACACAAAGCTCAAAAATAAATAAACAACAGTCTAAAATTTTTCTATAATTTTTCTACACTTTCTGCAATATACGTCTTCTTCTTCTTCTTCTTCGAATTTCAATCTGAAATTCGGCCAAAACCAAGTCTAATCTTCACCAAAACCCCTCAAAATTGAGATATAAACTCCAAACCATATTCCCAATTATTTACAACAACACCCAATCCAAACAAATAATGATTTTTGAAAACCCAAATTTGAATTCAAAGCTTCGAAGCTTTTTAATGGCTGCCAATGGTGGAATTGCTACTCTCTTTTCCTTTCCTCTTTTATTACTGAAGGAACCCGAAATCATAACCATTAAAAGTTATTGCTGTGTATGAAACTTTGAAGATTTGACTTCAATTTTGACTAGTTGTAGAAGAAAAAACCTTGATTTTGGATGTTAATGGTAGAGGGTTTCAATTATTTTTTCTGGATTTAGCAGAGGGTTTCAATTGATTTTCTGGTTTTTCTGGTTTCTGGGTGTGTGGTGATACGTGGGCGAGGGTGTGGGGTTGGAAGAGAGAAACGTGGGGGGATGGGGATTTGGAGGAATATACGACACCATAAATTTATGAGTGATATAAGGTACAATTAATGTACAGTTAAAACACCTTATGGCATAGAATTGGTAATTAGGTATACTAAATATAATTATATCAAACCTTAAACATTGAGGGTAATATAGTTTCCTATATGGCATAGGAATGTAAAAATTCCTTTATTTATTATTTTCTTCTTTCTTTATTCCCGGTACACCAAATTCTCTCTCACCGCCTCTCGCTTCTTTCTTTCTAACCCACGTAGATACCCCATCCTCTCTTAACCTAGCCCCCGCTATTCCCCCTCCCCTACCCCCTACGCAGTTCTGCCATCAATGGCTCGAAGAAGGCTTGGGCTCCTACTCCGTCGTCCATGGTGGCAAGCAGAAGAATATTGAAGATTTATGAAAGAAAAATGAAAATACACGCGATCTGAAAATAAATAGCTCTCAAACTTGATTTGCACCAAAAAAATAACCACTAATTTTGGAAGATTTTGAAGTTTGAAATTCTGGTCATTATTATTATGACCTTGAAGTCTCGAGTCTGAAATTAGGTGTATCTTTTCTGGGTGTTGAATTCCAAACCGTTGGCGCAAAATTGTTAACCTATTGACGAGTTGAATCATCCAATACCTTCTACTACAACTCGAGGCTTGGATAAAAAATCATAACTATGTAGCAGTTTGTATCAACACTGTATAGCAGTGTATAATTGTACATATGGATATACAAACAGCTCTTATACACTATTATACATGTTTATACAAGTTAATACATTATTTACAGTAAGTGTAGTGTTGGACATTCTATGTTTTCTAGTGAAAATATTGTATAAGTGGTTTTTATATACACTTATACAGTATTGTATAATTATGTATAAATATGTATATTTGTGTATAATATTGTATAATTATATATTTTTTCAGTTTATAAGGATGTATATATATTGTCAGTGTATAAGAGGCCTCTACGGAAGTTTGACACTTCCTTCTCTTCTTCTTTTTCGTGTATGTGCTGTATGAAAAAGATCTTGTACGCGTTGAATGGATTCTACAATTCATTTACCAAGTTTTTATTTTTCTTTTCTCCTGTTGGGTTGCTTCAGCAATTGCACATAAAAGTGTGAATTTTTGCCTTCAGATAATATGTATTATTCAGGATTTTTGAGTTGCGTTGTGGCTAATTTGCATTTTTTAATGAAATCAAGAGAATGAAAACAACTGGTTGTATAAAGAGGGAGCAATAACCGTAGTTGATTGTGTGAAATAAGCTGTCTTTCGGGAATTAGTCTATTATTTTTGGGCTATAGATTTGCAAAGTGATATCTAGGCTATTATGTTACAATTCAGGTGTGTGAGTTGTACTTACGTGAAATTATCCCATTAATAATTAGTTCCAATTCAGGTGCTGGTTAATTTTCTCATGTTAAAGGTGGGCATGTGCTTCTTTGCTTCCCATTCAAATAACGTAGTGAAGGAGTATAATGGTATGCATGAACCAATGGAGAACAACAAGCTGGAAGGTTTGAATGACAAATAACTTGCAATTAGTCAATTTAGCCTTCTACTACAAGTACAAGGTTTGAATGACAAGAAACTAACCTGCATTCCTTCACTTTGGGGTTGTTGACTGGTAAAATTTTATTGACACCTTGGTATTTATATTAATTCAATAAATATGATGTCTTTCATACCATTTATTACTTCTTAAGTGATAAAATTAATTTATTTTATGTAAATATCGAATGCGCGCAAATTAATTAATGCGCTACCTTTAATTTCAAAGTCAAGTGGCAACTGGCATTAATCTTTCTGTGAAAGTGTACTTCAAGTAGAAAATTGGCAAGCCATTTTCTTATTACTATTGTTTGCTAACGTGAAAGTGACTCTCCTTCTTGTTTCTTAATTGCAGTAAAATGCCTCTCATGATTCTTATCATATTTGCAAGTGACAACTACCAAATGGCTAACAAGAATCCAGATTTAAGCTTTGAAATGATGAATATGATCGATGTATATTAATACTCAAGCATTGCTTAACTCAAAATCCCATATGTTAATGTTTTTTTTTTTTTTTTTTTTGCATCTGACAATAACTTAATGATTTAAGTTATATACGACGGTTATTTGTCGCAGAGAATTGAGGAAGTTAATCCCGATGACTCATTTAATCTTTTGGAATGGTGGAAGGACAAAGAAAAACACTTTCAGATTTTTTTTAAAGGATGGCCCGAGACATTTTAACTATTTCAAGCTTCAACAATGGCATGGGAGAGCACTTTCAGTCAAGCAAGACTTCAACTCGATGATTGTAGAGTGTCTATGAGGGACAGCTTGGAAAAATCAGTACTTTTCAGAGATTGGATCCGTTCGGAAAGAAGAAATTTTGGACTTGCTGAATCACAACCAAAGAAAGACGAAGCTTACGAAGAAATGCTAGCTGAACTTGCTCCGCTGCTTCGCCCGTAGCGGCGATGACCAAGCTACTTTTCCCCCACCACCAACGGAAATTCCTCCGGACCTTGATGGATTTATGAAGTTTGTAAGAGATACTATGTAACTTGTATGAACAAAAATTAGTATGTATTATGTAACATGTATTTTGACACATCTTGATTAGTTTCCTTTTCTTCTCAATGGTGGTATTAGCACCTTGTTGTTCTCATTCCATTGGGGAGAGGAAGACTAAGAAAGATATTGCCATATTTTTTTAATGCTATAATAATATTACAAGGCATTGCTTTGAATATCTCTTTACAGTATTTTTGTCTTTACACTTTAAATTTGAATTAAAAAATTCTGTAATAAAATTTACAATGCATTGCTTTAGATATTTTTTTTAAACATCTTTTTGTATTTAATTTCTATTTAATTTTGAAAAAAATCCGTTGGCTCACTTAGCCCGCGGGCCAAGACCGTTTAGCCCGAGACCATGAGTTCATGGCCCGCTCCCGGGCCGGTTCCTACAAAAAGACCATTTGGATCGGAACCGTTTGGCCCATTTAATTTGGGACCGGAATCGAGACCGTTTGGACCGGCCCACTTGGCCCGTTTAGGGCCCGAACTGGCCCACTAGTCATTTTTACCCAAGATAATGTTTATGTGATTGAAATTGAGGCAAAAGTGTTTTGCAATAGCTAACTCACTGATATAAATAGCCATACACAAAAATAGTAAAAACTTACTAGCTAACTTTCAGACGCACTATATATAACCCCTACGAAAACATTCTTTTTTATAATTAATTCTTCACCTTTCTAATTAAAAGGATTGGTCAATTAGGCATTGGCCAATATTCTGCTGCTGTTTGCTACTCCAACTATTGTTTACTTCTACTATTTTCTTGCAAACATTAGTATACAACTATTGACTGCTGCAGAAATCCAAGAATCCCATGAATTCATGATTTTGTATCATTGTAATGCTCTTCTCTATTCCAACCACCCCTGTAAAAAGAGAGCCGAAAAAAAAAGGAGGTTAAATCTTTTTCTTGAATTTATGTTTGGATTGGAGCATTAGAATTATTATGAGACTTACCCATTATAAGAGCACTAGCAAAAATGACACCAGAGAGTATAAAGACAATAATTGATGCTCTCTTTAATATTGTGATAACTTTTCTAATAAAAAACTGTCCCCAGAAACCAGCCACTACAGAAACCATCATCAGGAACAGAGCTGCAATTAATAGGGGAATTTAGTTAGGACTATAGTAATATTTTTAATATAAAAATTTAATAATGTGGAATTTTGAGAAAAGCAGAAAGTTGTGATTAAAGAATATACCATAAGGTATTGGGAACCTCTTGAGTAGGTGAAACTCTACCACAGATAAAGATGATGAGAACATCATCACAAAAGTTGCTGTGGCACTAGCTACCTGAACATGAAAACAAACAAATCCACAGTCAATTTCCCTTTAAAAACTTGTGACCTTACCACATACTATAGTTAAAAAATTTAGGGTAAATGTTTAGCCCGCGGCCGAAACTGTTGGGCATCATATAACTGCAAAAGAGTATAAAATTTGTATATATCATACAGAAATGTATATATATACAAAAAATATACTTTCTCGGCTATTATTTTGAGAGCGGCTATACAATGTCATTTTCTGACAAATTTAACATAGACTTGTATGCTAGACAAAAAAAGTGTACTAAGAAATTCTTTTTAACCATACTGTAATATTTATCATAACGTGGCGAGTCAACCATATCATAGTTCATTTCGGATGACAACTTAATGCACTAAACTCCAACTATGTGGGCGATCTGAAGAAAAATTGGATCAAATTAGGTCAATTGTACGCAATTTTACCAGTGGAATGATGCCAGATCGAATCACATTGAATTTAATGTATGCACTCTTTTTTAAGAGTGGAATGATGCATAATCAAATTAAATTGAGTCTATTTTATGCAATCTTACCTGTGGGATGACGCCGATTTCAAGAAGAAGAGGGCCAAGAATGAATCCACCACCAGAGCCAAGCAAGCCACCAACAGTTCCTCCCAGTATGCCACAAAAGGCACAAAATAAAAGATTTCTCACTGACCATTCAACGTCAGCCTCACAAACTGATATTGGGTTCCCTGCTAATCTTCTTTTCTTGCTCTCTTTGTAAAGTTTGGCACATTCATACAAAAACACAGCCAGTGCTACTGGGAACTGAAATATAACATGAAACATGCACTATAATAAGTTACCCTCAGTCCCCACTATAATAAAATTACATAGGTAGATTAGTAACATGACCTTTAGCATGTACCTGTAATAAGATGAGTACCCAGTACATTGGACTACAAGCCACTAGATTATTCTGTAACATGTAAAAACATGACTAGTTTAGGCTCAAAAATAAGACAGAGATATTCACAAGAGTTCAAGTGGCGTTTGGATATAAAATTCCGAAAAAAGTGGGAAAAAAATTCAAGTAAAAATGGTATTTGAAAATTAGAGTTGTGTTTGGACATGAATATAATTTTGGGTTGTTTTTTAATTTTTGTCAGTGATTTGAGTGAAATTTTGAAAAATAACTTTTTGGAATTTTTCAAATTTTCGGAAAATTCCAATTCATCTTCAAGTGAAAATTGAAAATTTTATTGCCGAACACTGATTTCAAAATTTTTTTTCGAAACGGGCTCTAAGTTTTATGCACTGATGTCATTTATAAGGTACTACTCCCTCTGTTCCAGTTTATGTGAACCTAGTTTCTTTTTGGTCCGTTCCAAAAGAATGACCCATTTCTAAATTTGGAAACAATTTAGCTGAAACTTCCAATTCTACCCTTAATGAGAAGTTTTTATAACCACATAAATACTCCTGACCCCTTTTTGACTTGTTTAGGACCACAATTCAAAAAGTCTTTATTTTTTCTTAAACTCGTGCCCAGTCAAACATGTTCACATAAATTAGAACGGAGGGAGTAACTGATAGTGTAAAAAAAGTCTTTAAATTATCAAGGTATATAACTTATATTCTTATTTTAATGTGTTTAAATTTAGAAAATAGATTGTAAAAGGAAAAATAATAAAATTCAAAGTTAGAATAGTTGACTTGCCTTATAGATTTGAAGAAGCAGAAATATGATCCAAAGTAGAAATAGCACAACTACTCTCTTTAAATCAAGGTTGAACTTCATAAGTTGCTGTGAGATGATAACACAAAGATCATTTAATATTAACAAGAATAAGCTACCAAAAAAAAAATGTAATAAAAAAGTAGAAATATCCATGCTGATAATTGATGTGAATAAGCTTACTAGTGCAGTTTTTTCCTCCTTGGGGACCAGAGGTTCATAATCTGTATCAATTACAACTGAAAAACAGGAAGTAAAACAAAGTAGTTATTAGACTAATTTAAACAAAGAATTTAATGAAGTTCATTTTCCTTAAACCTGCCAAAAGAAAGGATTAATTGTTATTGGACTACTTACGTTCACCATGAGAATTAATTGTAGCATGTTCCCTCGCTTTCTGCAAGTTTAATTTAACATAAAGAAGAATGGTTAATTAATATTTTTACCTTCAAAAAATTCTAGCAATTTGACCACCACTGTTAATGTACTATCTTGTATAATTAATAATGTAAAATACACGATAACAAAACACCATTTGAAAGCAACACTTAATTAAGTACGTATTACACGTAATAAGAACTATTTGAGGATTATTATTTTGTTGGTCCATGGATTAGTAGAACTCCCAGTGAGAATTGTTTTTCTTGAGCCAAGGTTTTTTAGAGAACAGTCTCTCAACCTGATAGGCAGTGGCGGAGCCAGAATTTTCATCAAGGGGTATCAAAATATAAATAATTAGATACATCAAAAAATAAAGGGGAGTCAGTGTATAGTAAATATACCTATAATAAAAAAAAATTATCTAGCAATATAGTGTAATTTTCCGGCAAAGGGGTGACACCCCTTGGTTCAATGTGGCTCCGCCACTATTCACAAAGTAGAGGTAAAGTCTGCGTATATTTTACCCTCCCTATACCAAATATGTTATTGTTGCTGTCAAGGATTAGTAGAACTAACCTTGAGAATAGTTTCTTCTTTCCACATCTTAATCCCTTTAAAAAATGACCTTGATGAAGTTCCTATAAGCAATATTATAATAACAATAATTAAACACACAAAATATTGGAATTGAAGGAGTGAAATTGAATCATTGCTAGAAAAAGGTTGTGCAAAGTTACCTAAGAAAAGGATGATAATAAGGACAGTTATGAGCCAATAGGGGAAAACAACACTAAGAGAAACACCAATGGTGATTCCTAGCATGAGCATAGGCTGAAAAAGTAGAGCTAAATCATAATCAATTATTGGTACTTCTCTGCATGGATGTGGTACTCTTAAGTTGTACCATACTGATGATGCTGATGCCCCCATAATCATACCTGTAAAAAGCAAATCAACCAAAAAAATTTCAACAAACCAAAAAAGCAATTTAAAATAATAATAATAAAAATAAAAAGAAGGATATTTATTCTCGGTAAAAAATTTATTGGAGATTAGGTTCAATAAAGACAAAAAGTTAAGTGCTTTCTTTAGAACTGTCTAAGCTATAGTGATGTACAAATTAATTTGTACAACGAGATATAACTCGAATACCACAATTATAAAAAAAATGATATTCATCCCTCTTTGCTTCCCCTAAACGATATTCAAAGTTTTTGCATGTGATAGTCTTTTCTCAAACTATAACAATAGCAACTACGACTTAATGTAAGTAAATTATATGAATTCTGATTGTCTTTTTTTTTTTTGGAACCGAAAAAAGAAAGAAAGCATACACTTGGAAATAGCAGCAGCAGATTTGGTATCAAATCCAACAATCAAAGTGAGCATAGGAACAAAAATGCCTCCTCCACCAACTCCACCTACTGTTCCACAAGCTGATCCCAAGAATCCTATCACTGCAGCTAGAACTGGCCTCCAACCAAACTTCAATTCCTGCAAAACCAACCACTTAAATTATATTCGTACTAGTAAAATTACTAACAGACCAATATTAACAAGTGATTTTTCAAGAATTTAGCAAACATACCGGCCAAATTTTGGTTTGAGATCCAACAGGCAACTGCAAAAGGTTGGAATTTGTGGAATATCTTGGTTCTACACCAGCATTATGAAAGTTGATGAACAAAACAGATAGAACAGCCACAGAGAAACTTGTTAACAAGTAAACTAGAAAACTTTTTGTAGCCATTGAATCACTTAAATTTTTTCTTCCTTTGTCCCACAGCCTAGCTCCACCTTTAATTTGTCCTCTATTTATATATGTTGTTTTATGAAAACCAATTGACCCTTATAAATATTACCAACTTTCTAAACACGGCAAACCAGCTAGCACATGTTGTATATAAGGAAAGAAATCAATTAAGAATCTTTCTAGCACCACACTAAATTATTACTTCAAGAGTTCCTTTAATTACTTTCACTTTTTGTTTTATGTTTCTTGACGTTGGGTAGAGGAGAAGACCCCCGGGGTTGCGGGAAGGGGGGAGGGGTACTCTTGACGTTGGATATATATATATATATATATATATATATATATATATATATATATATATTGTCACGACCCTAAATCCCAACCCGGTCGTGATGGCGTCTCTCGTGAAGACAAGGCCAGCCAACTAAACCCAATTTACCTTTTTAAGCAGTTAAACAACATAAAACAGTCTAACACATGATTTANACATAAAACAGTCTAAAACATGATTTAATAGTATTAAGTAGCGAATAATGTCAATAAAGTGCGGAAACATAACCCAACACAGCCCTAACCAGGGTGTCACAAGTCACGAACATCTAACAGTATCCAATACTCAAGGATAACTACAGAGTTTGAACTACTGAACTAAGACTGTAAAAGAAATAGATAGAGAGGAGCCCCAGGCTACGAAACGCCAACAGCTACCTAAAGACTCCTCGAAGATCCGCCTGAAGCTGGAATGAATCAGCACTCGGGAGTGGGACCAACTACGCCTGCACACAGGGTGCAGGGAGTAAAGTGAGTACTCCAACTCAGTGAGTAACAAATGTAAATAATGACTGAAAGTAAGAAAACACGTAAGGCACAAAGCAGTCTATAATGAAGCAGTAAAATCATTTGAAAACAGTATACCAGTGAAAAGACAGGTAAAATCCTCTTTCAACAAGTAAACAGGTAATTGACAGACAATTAAGGTACATTAAATAAATAGAGGCTCGCCCCTCGGGCACAATATCACCACATCCGCCCCTCGGGCAACATCTCAGAACAATAATAGCCCCTCGGGCTCAATCTCACATCACACTGGGTACCCGCGCTCACTGGGGGTGTGCAGACTCCTGGAGGGGCCCCTTACGGCCCAAGCGCAATAACAAGCCATCTCGTGGCATCAAAACTAAGCCCTCGGCCTTATATCAATCAAGCCACCTCGTGGCGTACATATCTCAAGCCCTCGGCCTCAAATCAGTATCAGTGTCTCGTCACAACATAGGCCCTCGGCCTTACTCATTCAAAAATACTCACAAGCCCCTCGGGCAATAGTAAAACAGTGTTTCTCAGCCCAGAACATCATTTAAAATATCATTTAAGTCTCAAAACTGAGTAAAAATGGCTGAGTAGTAAAACAGTGGAAAATAACATGACTGAGTTCAAGTAATAAGTCAAAACAATGAGGAAATATCAATAAAAAACCCCCCGAAGGGTTCAAATAGTTGGCACGAAGCCCAAGTATGACATTTAGCCCAAATCATAGTGATAGCAAACAAGTTTCAGTCAAATATGCGGTAAAATCATCAACCGGGACGGACCAAGTCACAATCCCCAATAGTGTACGACCCGACGCTCGTCAACAAGCGTGTGTCTCACCTCAACATAGCACTACGATGTGCAATCCGGGGTTTCAAACCCTCAAGACATCATTTACAATCATTACTCACCTCGAACCGGCTAAATCTCTAGCTTGCGACGCCTTTGCCCCGGCCTCCACGTGCGTCGAACCTATCCAAAATCAGAGCGAGGACGTCAAAATATGCCAAGGGAACAAAGCCCAAGCGAAAACAATCAATAAAGGGCACAAATCCCGGAATTAGCAAAACCCGAGCCCCGGGCCCACTTCTCGAAACTCAAAAGTTTTCACACCAACGGATTCCTTAGCTCCCCACGAGTTCGTACATATCAAGAATACCAAAATCGGAGTCCAAATGACCCCTCAAATTCTCATTTAAAGGCCTCTTAAACTCAAGCCCTAATCCTCCATTTTTAGCCCTTTAATCCTTTTAATTACATCCTTAATCCATGAAATACTACCATAGAAATGTGTTTTTGGTCCAAAAATCCTTACCTTAACGAAGTCTCTTGATTTCTCTCTTCAGAATCGCCCAAAAAGCTCCAAGGTCGAAGTCAAAAATGGTGAAATAACCCAAACTCGCGAAATGAAATAACATATATGTCCTGCCCAGGCCTTTCTCCAAGGAACCGCTTCTGCGGTACCGCATTTGCGGCCAAACCACCGCTTCTGCGGTTTTTCACTTAAGGCCCAAAATCGCATCTGCGATAGAACTTCCACATCTGCGGCTTCGCGGATGCGGCCATCTTGACCGCTTCTGCGGAAACTGCTCGCCAGCCCCAATTTTGCATCTGCGGCTTCCTGCATCGCACCTGCGGTCCCAATTCCGCAGGTGCGGAAATACCAGAAGCAGAAAATCTGCAGCTTCTACAAACATCTAACTTCTCCGTTAACCACCCGAAATCACCCGAGGCCCCCGGGACATCAACCAAAAGCACCAACACATCCTAAAACCTTATTCAAACTTGTTCCAATCATCAAAACATTTCAAACAACATCAATTCAACCAAAACACATCGGATTCAAGCCTAAGCTTCTAAAAATCTTCCAAATTCCGCTTTTGATAAAAAAAACCCTACCAAATCACGTCCGAATAACCTGAAATTTTGCACGTACATCCCAAATCACATAACGAAGCTACTGCAACTCTCGGAATTCCATTCCGACCCCTATATCAAAATCTCGCCTACCAACCGGAAATTGCCAAAATATCAACTTCGCCAATTCAAGCCTAAATCTACTTCGGACCTCCAAAACATATTCCAATCACACTCCTAGGTCATAAATCACCTCCCAAAGCTAACTGAAACATCGGAACTCACATCCGATCCCTCTAACACATAAGTCAACATCCAGTTGACTTTTCCAACTTAAGCCTTCCTAAAAGAGACTAAGTGTCTCAAACTTCACCAAAACCAATCCGAATCCAATCTGACCAACCCGATACCTCAAAACACGGATAAACAAGGCATAAAGAAGCATAAATGGGGGAAACGGAGCGGTAACTCATGAGACGACCGGCCGGGTCGTCACACACACACATATATATATTATGCTTGTCAGTATAGTGATTTATTCATATATTTAATTATTCTTTAAATATTAACATGGATTATGAAAAATAATGCATACGCAATCTAGGGTGTAACAACTTAATTATGCTGTTTCCAAAAGTAGGCAAATGTTACACAAAAATGAGTGGATATATACAACTCTATAAACCGTTAAGTTGCTTAACTTCCCTTAAATATGATTTGGAAGGGAAATTTTACGAAATTAAACTTTCCCACTTTGTTTGTATTCATTACTACCTCAGTTTCACTTTGTTTGGTGTGGTTATGGTTAATTTTAAAAATAAATTCTTCAAATTTTTTAAAACAAAATTTACACATTTGGAAATTACGTACTAAAATCAAAATAGTCAATAATGCAAAATAGTTAAAAAGTACTTATTTTGATATGGTCAAATAATAACCTTTTTGTTTGACCATCCAAATAGTAAATATGCGACAAAATAAAAGGCAATAAATATAAATGGTGTTCGTTGTGCAATTACCGCAATCCCATTATAAGTACCAAGTACCAACCTAAAGAGTAACTAAAATGGGTTTTTCATAATTTTGGGACTTAATAGGAAATCTTGAGTTACATGGTATTCAACTCTACGAAAGACGACAAAATTCAAAGAAGTTTTAAATCTTTCGGCCTAATTTATATTTTTTCCATGGTAAATAATTCGCAATGAATTGCATATCTCTATGTTATTACTATATATAAGCAGCAGTTAATTAATTATAAGTACCAACAATAGTTGTATTCGAGCTATGAGTTCTGTAGTCGCCTCTATTAGGGAAAATTTCACCCCAAATATGAAATTTTTCGGCGCAAAATTTAGTCGAATCCTAATACAAATATCGAACACAAATAGAAAACGAATTTCTTTTAATTGTAAGTGCATTAATCAATAAGAATTCAATCTTAGTCAAACATTTAAGATTAAGCTATTAAAATTAAGAGATACGAACGAAATAAATTATAATTAAGAAAAGCGCGTCCAAACTGAAAATACGATCCATTAATTAAATGCTTTTCAAAGGAATCTATCCAAACTCCAATAAGGCAATACTCCTTCTAGTCCACTTTAATCGATTTTTTGCCTTTTTTCTAAGGTCCACAGTGTTTGATTTTTCAAATAGCAAGAAAGAATTAACTTATTTTTTTCAAAGTTGCCCTGGAGATAAGAGCCTAAAGTATTTATTGTATTTTCAATGAGCAAATTTAAGGTTAATATAATCAATTACATTGTTAATTAAAGATGAATTCCTTAATATATGTAAAAATAACCAAAAAAAAATCACTTAAAGTAGACCGGAGGGAGTAACAATATTTGAGTCAAACTAAGCAAAAAATTAGCGTGAAATTGACATAATGAAGTTTGACGTTATTGATCCTCACTATATAGTATATACACACACAAAAGGAGGGGGAAAGTTGACGTTATTATCATCTGTGTTTTAAGTAGTCTATGCCAAAGTATAAAATATAGACATGTGGAAAGAAAAGATCAAATCGCGGGGAAATATATATTACATGCTTGATAAGTTGGACAAGTGTGACAATTATTTTTTTAACTCGAGGGTTGTAGTATTTTTCATTATTGACTATTTTTTCTGTCCAAAATCCAATAAGGCAATAACAATATTTGAGTCAAATTAAACAAAATGTAGCGTGAAATTAACATAATGAAGTTAGGCGTTATGAATCCTCACTATATACACACAGAGAAAAGGGAGAAAAGAAAAGTTTGACGTTATTATTATCATCTGCTTTTTTACGTAAGTCTTTTGTTCATATGTGCCAAAGTAAAAATGTCGACCCAATATACTATATGAGTGACTTAAACGTGGGGAAATATTATACTATATAATATGATTGACAAA